ACCAAAATTTCTCGGGAAACCCTTTTTCGTATTAATTTTGGTGCGTAGAATCCAAAACAATTCGTACTTTTTCGATTAGATTTTTCAATCAAAAGTTATAGACTAGAAACCAATTTCGAAAGAAAATCAAAGGGCTGTAACTTTAGAACTAGTAGCCCAATCTTGGAACTGTTTGAAATTATGGATTCTACAGGCCACATTCTATAAGAAATTTTTTTTTCCGGGTCGATCTGTATCAATTTTTTCTTCGAGCCTCAAAAAAAGGCGATGTGTAACCTTCCTTTTTTACCAAAAATCGACTGCACCAAAATTTCTCGGGAAAACACTTTTTCTTATTAATTTGGGTGCGTAGAATCCAAAACAATTCGTACTTTTTCGATCAAGACTTCTCAATCAAAAGTTATAGACTAGAAACCAATTTCGAATGAAAATTCAAAGGGCTGTAACTTTTGAACTAGTAGCCCAATCTTGGAACTGTTTGAAATTATGGATTCTACAGGCCACATTCTATAAGAAAATTTTTTTCCGGGTCGATCTGAGACAATTTTTTTTCGGGGCTCAAAAAAAGGCAGTGTATAACCTTCCTTTTTTACCAAAAATCGACTACACCAAAATTTCTTGGGAAAACACTTTTTCTTATTAATTTGGGTGCGTAGAATCCAAATCAATTCGTACTTTTTCGATCAGACTTCTCAATCAAAAGTTAAAGACTAGAAACCAATTTCGAAAGAAAATTCAAAGGGCTGTAACTTTTGAACTAGTAGCCCAATCTTGGAACTGTTTGAAATATGGATTCTACAGGCCACATTCTATAAGAAATTTTTTTTTCCGGATCGATCTGAGACAATTTTTTTTTCGGGGCCCAAAAAAAGGCAGTGTATTACCTTCCTTTTTACCAAAAATCGACTGCACCAAAATTTCTCGGGAAAACACTTTTTCTTATTAATTTTGGTGCGTAGAATCCAAAACAATTCGTACTTTTTCGATCAGACTTCTCAATCAAAGTTATAGACTAGAAACCAATTTCGAAAGAAAATTCAAAGGGCTGTAACTTTTGAACTAGTAGCCCAATCTTGGAACTGTTTGAAATTATGGATTCTACAGGCAACATTCTATAAGAAAATTTTTTTTCCGGGTCGATCTGAGACAATTTTTTTTCGGGGCTCAAAAAAAGGCAGTGTATAACCTTCCTTTTTTACCAAAAATCGACTACACCAAAATTTTCTCGGGAAAACACTTTTTCTTATTAATTTGGGTGCGTAGAATCCAAATCAATTCGTACTTTTTCGATCAGACTTCTTAATCAAAAGTTATACACTATAGAAACCAATTTCGAAAGAAAATTCAAAGGGCTGTCGCAAGGTTACAAAATAGCAGTTGTAGGAGCACGAGCAAGGGGATTAGAATCATGATATATTTAGAACAACTTAAGAAGGAATTTTCATCTATTTCTTTTTATTCAGTCATTTATTTTAATGGTTAGTTTCTATTATCGACTAAATTCAGTAATGAGAGAGATTGATCGGAATCATATTTTCGGGGTCAAAGAGCATTTAAAGATCAATTTGATCCCTGCGACCATCATAAGGTAGGTTTACAATGAGCGCTGCTTTAAAATGTGACGCAATGGAAAGTGCGTGATGCACAAACAACAACGAATTTATATCAAGACTGATTATGTGTAATTACTTCATATTATAATGATATGATATTAATAGTGTCAGAAGATTATTGATTATCGTAAAAGTTTTTCAACATCGAAATGTATCGTTTTCTAATTTATGTTCACCGAATTTGCGGTTTTCATTCCATTGAGTTACTATAGTACACTAAACAAAGTATCTAATTCTCCTAGGTCATTGGTGATCTAGTAGTCCATCTTTTCATTGAGTCAATTTTTAATTACCATTTACATTAATCAAAGAGGAATCGACGCAGAATTTGGTTTTATTTCTCTGTAAGCAGCGCAATTGGAGCCTAATTCCTACAATAGGTATTTCTAAAGCTATGAAGCTGTCAGAGTGAAATTTTTAACAACAAAAGTGCTATCTATTATGATTTAACTAATTTAACAAATTGTACAAAGTGGGACCCTACCAATTTGGGTTTCTTTTGATAATGGTTTCTCAGGGACCATTATGAATACAAGGATGCCACTTTAACGTGGTTTGTTGGGTACACCCTTCCTCATCAGCTTAAAATCTTTATAAAATTCCTAATATGCGCTTGAATGGGTGTGCGTACAAAAATCTTATACCGGACAAAGGTTGCTATCTGGGGGTTCTTCAAAAGCGATGTAAACCACTCTCTACAATGCATTGCTTTTAAACACAATAAATCGAATATCTCAACAGGTATACAATAAATGAAGCTAATAAATAAATACTAAAGAAAACAGAGGAACTTAACGTCCTCTAAATTTGAGTTTAATCGGTTTCTTCGTTTTTAAAACTACGTGAGCCGCCAATACAATACTTTTCGGTGTATCGACGGGCATCACTTCGTACTCCCTTAAAATCGCCGATATAATACTTTTTCCCAGTAATAATGAGAATTTGTTTCCTATGCAGCCCCTAGGACCAGCGCTAAAGGCGAGGTAGGCGAAAGGGTGTCGATTTTTGCAATTTTCCGGCGAAAACCTCTCCGGATCGAATTTGTACGGATCTGGATAGAATTTGGGGTCGTGGTGGATGTCATATATGCGCACGTTGACATTGGTGCCCTTTGGGAGGGTGTATCCGGTGTGTGTTGTCATTTCTTCCGTGATGTATCGCGATATCATAGGCCCGCTGGGGTATAACCTCAGGGTTTCCTTTAACACCTGATCTAAATAACGCATACTTTGCAAGTCTTCGTAAAAGGTGCTGTCGTCGGTTTTGCTGAACACTCCCTCGACTTCTTCATAAACCTTTTGCTGTAAGTTTTTGTTTACGTAAGCGAGATATTTGCTTTAAGTTATTTTAGCTTACCTGTATTTCGCTATGGCTGGCCAGCAGTAGCAAGGCGAAGCAGATCATACTGGTAGTTGTATCGTGGCCCTAGAGATACTCAAAATGTACCCTTGCGAAAAACTACCTCCAGTTACTTACCGCAAACATAAAAGCATCTGCTTCTTCCCGAATATCGGCCACAGGAATTCGTTCGTCCAAGCTATTCTCAATTAGCAAATCGAGTAACCCTGCACCTCGTTTCGAAAAAGCACCTTTACTGGCAAAGTTCTTCCTCTTTTCTTGAATTATGTTATGTGTAAAGTCGTGTAGCACTTTCAAGACCTTCCTCGATTCCCAGTAACTGGGAGTTAACAGGTATATTGGCAGAAATGCGTACCACGGTCTACTAAGCTGATGAATGAATAGTTCACCGATCCGATGTGACGCTGCTAGATATTTACCTACTTCTTCATTGTCTTCGTCTAATTTTGTACCCATTACCGTTTCTAAAGGTACAAAATTTTATTACGTGACGCTAATTTATTGGAATGTATTACCACAAACTACGTGCATTGTGCCTTTCGATACGAGGGGCTCAATCTCTGTGTATTCCTTCTTACTTTCTCGCTCGATAAGTTGAGTGAATTTCTCGGCGTGCTCCTTGAAGGCCTCCACAAACTTACGCATGGTGCCAATGCTAAATGCTGGCCCTGTCATTTTCCTTCTTTCCCACCACTTCATCCCTACATTATACGATCAGAACTAGTCTTTCTTAGAGGAAAGTTGATTCTTACCTGAACTGTTAAACAGTCCCTTTCCGACCCAAGGTTCGAGCAACTGATACGTTTGGCCTTTGTTAAGGTACTTCCCAGAGGATAGCAGCACCTGAATGTCTTCTGGTACCATTAGATTAACGTAAAGGGTGTTGAGCACCAGGGTTTTGTAGATCGGTAGGGCGTCAGCTTTTGCGAACTTGTGGAGGTATCTCCATGTTTTATCTGAAACCGAATTAACGTTAGTAATGAGGTACGTAATGAGTGGTTGTCCATTGATAACATTCTTACATAAGCTATGCTACCTGCTACGGTAATGGTGCTTATTGAGAAGCAATAAATTTAAATTTAACTGGGTAAATTCAATATTTTTGTAAACTATTAGTTTATCGTTGTGACATTTACACTGGGATAGTAGATTGATAGATTGGTTCAAGGAAATCACAACTAAATTTCAAACCAAATTAACATATTGATATCTAACCGCTGCTGGTGCGATAAAGAATGATAAACCAAAGGGAAACTTACCCGGTGAAAATAAGAAGTGAGGTAGCGCCCCGAAAAAAGGATAGTGGTAAGGTCCGGGAAGTTTGTTTGTTAAATCGGCACGTCTTCTGTTGGACCACCATTTGACCATAAGGATGGCTAGTAGCACTAGTAGTGACACGATCGCCATGATTATACCATTACACTAGCCTAATCGCTCGTAAATTGCTTCTTATATTACAGACAAGCATTACGCATTAGACCTTTTGTACATTGTCTAATACTGACGTAAATGATAAATGAATATGGACGATTAGTTAGTGCTACTTTTCATTTTTGTTTGTCAATGTATTGTGGTGGTAACCGAAAAATGATACGCATATTTTCTATGTCACGCTTCCTGTTTGTAACTCAAAGAAGTTTATTGCATATTTGCATACAGGAAGGTGGCATGGATTATTGCTTATTATTTAGTAATAGTAGGGGAGCTAGCACGAAATCCACTGAACGAAAATGATCAAAATTTTAACCGATGGAGTTCCATTTTGCCCTATCAGATTATGCTAAAATCGATCGTCTGCCGCCTCAGGTTATATGACTTAAGGCGCTGCGGGTACTTCTTGCGGTACCAATTCTGAAAGGTTGTTTTTCGAGAAAATAAGTTATACACCAAATGAAAACGTTGATAATAGCTCTTAAAAAAATATTGAAAAAAATCGCGCGCATTTGATAACTCCGTAAAAAAACAATTCTTAGTCGGTTTTTCACGAACTTTCTACGGATATAACTAGGTTACGGTTAGACGAATGAAGCTGATTTTTTCTACAGACTGATGATAGGTACTACTAATGACTTAACGGTGTTTCGTTTTTAAATTTTTTCTCTAATTATAAGATTATCTTATTATCTTAACATTATAAGATTTCTTATAATTAGAGAACAAATTTAAAAAAGAAACACTCATAGTCATTGGCTGTGTCCATCATTAGTCTGTAAAAAAAATCAGCTTCATTTATCCAACGGTAACCTAGTTATATCCGTAGAAAGTTCGTGAAAAACCGACTAAGAATTGTTTTTTTACGGAGTTATCAAATGCGCGCGATTTTTTTAAATATTTTTTTAAGAGCTATTATCAACGTTTTCATTTGGTGTATAACTTATTTTCTCGAAAAACAACCTTTCAGAATTGGTACCGCAAGAAGTACCCGCAGCGCCTTAAGTCATATAACCTGAGGCGGCAGACGATCGATTTTAGCATACTCTGATAGGGCAAAAAGGAACTCCATCGGTTAAAATTTTGATCATTCTCGTTCAGTGGATTTCGTGCTAGCTCCCCTACTATAAGTGGAGAGTGGCAGCCTAGGGTCGAACCTATTCACATCAAAATGTAGTTATTATTATATTTAAATGAAGTCTTAAATAAACCCAATATGAAACAATAAAATATTACATGGTGCAAGATAATTCATTACAGTATTCAGTACCGCAATAAAAGGGGATTCTCAAGTCAATCGGAAGCCAATGTTTTGGCCCTAAGATCGACGAACATGGAGCAACTATTATGTGTACTTAAAGAAGCTTCAAAAAGATCAGCGAACCAACAGCTTCAGGTAAACCCCGTCCAAACAATAATAAAATAAATTAAATCCTGTGTGCCCAAATGTATGTGAGATCAGCAAGAACCGTGAGACCTACTTGGTACAACTGTCTAGGATGCATGTACCAGTTTAATTTTAAAAGGGTTGCAGCGAATTTCTTTAATTAACTTGAGAAACTCAATCGTAATTAACTATGTAAAGCAAGTACCTGCTTTTATCTTCAATCGGGCACGTATTCAAGTCACGAAAATTTTTACCATCGAGACTGCGTCAAATAAAGATTGTCCGTTAACTATGTGACCCATATATTAATATTTTGGAAAGATCTTGCAACGCTCGTTTAGAAATATAAATAAATATATATACACATTGTGTTAAAATATACATAGCGTTCTTATGCCACTTCAGCACCTAACGTTTTTTACAAGACATTGCGACCCGAGGCTAACACACTCTAGCACAACGTTCGTTTCTTTGATTAAATGAAATCTTTATTAATTAAATAGTTTAAAGGTTTTCACGGTGTATAGATAAAACCTAAAGCAAACAAAGGCGCTTAACGTCGTCTAAATTTGAGTTTAATCGGTTCCTTCGTTTTTAAAACTACGTGAGCCACCAATGTAATACTTTTCGGTGTGTCGACGGGCATCACTTCGTACTCCCTTAAAATCGACGATATAATAGTTTTTCCCATTAACAATGAGAATTTGTTTCCCATGCAGCCTCTAGGACCAGCGCTAAAGGCGAGGTAGGCGAAAGGGTGTCGATTTTTGCAATTTTCCGGCGAAAACCTCTCCGGATCGAATTTGTACGGATCTGGATAGAGTTTGGGGTCGTGGTGGATGTCATATATGCGCACGTTGACATTGGTGCCCTTTGGGAGGGTGTATCCGGTGTGTGTTGTCATTTCTTCCGTGATGTATCGCGATATCATAGGCCCGCTGGGGTATAACCTCAGGGTTTCCTTTAACACCTGATCTAAATAACGCATACTTTGCAAGTCTTCGTAAAAGGTGCTGTCGTCGGTTTTGCTGAACACTCCCTCGACTTCTTCATAAACTTTTTGCTGCATGTTTTCGTTTACGTAAGCGAGATATTTGCTTTAAGTTATTTTAGCTTACCTGTACTTCGCTATGGCTGGCCAGCAGCAACAAGGCGAAGCAGATCATACTGGTAGTTGTATCGTGGCCCTAGAGATACTCAGATTGTACCCTTGCGAAAAACTACCTCCAGTTACTTACCGCAAACATAAAAGCATCTGCTTCTTCCCGAATATCGGCAACAGGAATTCGTTCGTCCAAGCTATTTTCAATTAGCAAATCGAGTAATCCTGCACCTCGTTTCAAAGAAGCACCTTTAATGGCAAAGTTCTTCCACTTTTCTTGAATTATGTTATGTGTAAAGTCGTGTAACACTTTCAAGACCTTCCTCGATTCCCAGTAGCTGGGTGTTAACGGGTATATTGGCAAAAATGCATACCACGGTCTACTAAGCTGATGAATGAATAGTTCACCGATCCGATGTGACGCTGCTAGATATTTACCTACTTCTTCATTGTCCTCGTCCAATTTTGTACCCATTACCGTTTCTAAAGGTACAAAATTTTATTACGTGACGCTAATTTATTGGAATGTATTACCACAAACTACGTGCATTGTGCTTTTCGATACGAGGGGCTCAATCTCTGTGTATTTCTTTTTACTTTCTCGCTCGATAAGTTGAGTGAATCTCTCGGCGTGCTCCTTGAAGGCCTCCACAAACTTACGCATGGTGCCAATGCTAAATGCTGGCCCTGTCATTTTCCTTCTTTTCCACCACTTCATCCCTACATTATACGATCAAAACTAGAGTCTCTCTCAGAGGGACGTTGATTTTTACCTGAACTGTTAAACAGTCCCTTTCCGACCCAAGGCTCGAGCAACTGATACGTTTGGCCTTTATTAAGGTACTTCCCGGAGGATAGCAGCACCTGAATGTCTTCTGGTACCATTAGATTAACGTAAAGGGTGTTGAGCACCAGGGTTTTGTAGATCGGTAGGGCGTGAGTTTTTGCGAACTTGTGGAGGTATCTCCATGTTTTATCTGAAACCGAATTAACGTTAGTAATGAGGTACGTAATGAGTGGTTGTCCATTTATAACATTCTTACTTGAACTATGCTCCCTGCTACGGCAATGGTGCTTACTGAGAAGCAAGAAATGTTATTATACACACGAATTAAGACGTAAATTCAACATTCTTAATATATTAATTAGTTTATCGTTGACATTTACACCGCCAAGTTGATAGAAAATTGATACATTTGTGCAAGGAAGTCAATTTTGCTTCAAACCAAATCAAAATATTGATAACTAACCACTCATGCCACAAATAATAATAAACAAAAAAGAAACTTACCCGGTGAAAATAAGAAGTAGGGTAGTGCCCCTAAAAAAGGATAGTGGTAAGGTCCGGGAAGTTTGTTTGTTAAATGGGCACGTCTTCTATTGGACCACCATTTGACCATAAGAATGGCTAGTAGCACTAGTAGTGACACGATCGCCATGATTATACCATTACACTAGCCTAATCGCTCGTAAATTGCTTCTTATATTACAGACAAGCATTACGCATTAGACCTTTTGTACATTGTCTAATACTGACGTAAATGATAAATGAATATGGACGATTAGTTAGTGCTACTTTTCATTTTTGTTTGTCAATGTATTGTGGTGGTAACCGAAAAATGATACGCATATTTTGTATGTCACGCTTCCTGTTTGTAACTCAAAGAAGTTTATTGCATATTTGCATACAGGAAGATGGCATGGATTATTGCTTATTATTAATTAGTAAGTGGAGAGTGGTAGCCTAGGGTCGAACCTATTCACATCAAAATGTAGTTATTCTATATTTAAATGAGTCTTAGGTAAATAAGCCCAATATGAAACAATAAAATATTACATGGTACATGATAAATCAGTACAGTATTCATGTACCGCAATAAAAGAGGATTTTCAAGTTAACCGGAAGCCAATTTTTTGGCCCTGAGATCCACGAACATGGAGCAACTATTATGTGTACTTGAAGAAGCTTCAAAAAGATCAGCGAACCAACAGCTTCAGGTAAACCCCCTCCAAACAATAATAAAATAAATTAAATCCTGTGTGCCCAAATGTATATGAGATTAGCAAGAACCGTAAGACCTACTTGGTATAACTGTCTAGGATGCATGTACCAGTTTAATTGTAAAAGGGTTGCAGTGAATTTCTTTAATTAACTTGAGAAACTCAATCGTAATTAACTATGTAAAGCAAGTACCTGCTTTTATCTTCAATCGGGCACGTATTCAAGTCACGAAAATTTTTACCATCGAGACGGCGTCAAATAAAGATTGTCCGTTAACTAGGTGACCCATATATTAATATTTAGGAAAGATCTTGCAACGCTCGTTTAGAAATATAGGTACTTATATATACATTGTGTTAAAATATACATAGCGTTCTTATGCCTAATGTATTAAGGATGGATCACTTCAGCACCTAACACTTGTTACAAGACATTGCGACCCGAGGCTAACACATTGTAGCACAACGTTCGTTTCTTTGATTAAATGAAATCTTTATTAATTAAATTGTTTAAAGGTTTTCACGGTGTACAATTTTTTTTATTGAAAATCAATTTCCGCGAAATTATTGGGGGTATCGAGACAAAAATCGTGTCACTTCATTCCCAGAGCACATCTATATAATAACCTTAATAGTTGAACGTTACTTTAGGGTGGCTATCCTTTTAAAAGACTAGGGAAAAAATCCGGAGTGGGGTCTGGGGGTTTGGAATGCCTCCAACCAGCAGAAAGTGCCCTTAGCAAAAAAAACAGATACGACTGTCCATCCCCAAAAACGTTGGACCGGAGGGTCAGGGCGGTATGGAATACTCTTCGCAGACAAAGATGCGATTACCTTTTCCCAAAGACTACAATGACAGTG